AAAACCGATTACTTTAGATAACTCACGTAATCAAACAGTAAAACCGATTACTTTAGATAACTCACGTAATCAAACAGTAAAACCGATTACTTTAGATAACTCACATAATCAAACAGTAAAGCCGTTTACTTTAGATAACTCACATAATAAAACAGTAAAACCGTTTACTTTAGATAACTCACATAATAAAACATTAAAACCGTTTACTTTAGATAACTCACATAACCAAACAGTAAAACCGTTTACTTTAGATAACTCACATAATCAAACAGTTAAACCGATTACTTTAGATAATTCAAATAATTAAACAGTATAACAAATTACTTTAGATAGGTCACATAAAAAAAACAGTAAAACCGATTACTTTAGATAATTCACATGATCAAACAGTAAAACCGATTACTTTAGATAATTCACATAATCAAACAGTAAAACCGATTACTTTAGATAATTCACATAATCAAACAGTAAAACCGATTACTTTAGATAACTCACATAATAAAACAGTAAAACCTTTTACTTTAGATAACTCACATAATAAAACAGTAAATCCGTTTACTTTAGATAACTCACATTATCAAACAGTTAAACCGATTACTTTAGATAACTCCCATAACCAAACAGTAAAACCAATTACTTTAGATAACTCACATAATCAATCAGTAAAACCGATTACTTCAGAAAACTCACATAATCAAACTGAAAACCTGATTACTTTAGATAATTCACATAATCAAACAGTAAAACCAATTACTTTACATAACTCACATAATCAAACAGTAAAACAGATTACTTTAGATAATTCACATAATAAAACAGAAAAACCGTTTACTTTAGATAACTCACATAATAAAACAGAAAAACCGTTTACTTTAGATAACTCACATAATAAAACAGAAAAACCGTTTACTTTAGATAACTCACATAATCAAACAGTTAAACCGATTACTTTAGATAACTCACATAATAAAACAGTAAAACTGTTTACTTTAGATAACTCACATAATAAAACAGTAAAACCGTTTACTTTAGATAACTCACATAATCAAACAGTAAAACCGTTTACTTTAGAAAACTCACATAATCAAACAGTTAAACCGATTACTTTAGATAATTCAAATAATTAAACAGTATAACCAATTACTTTAGATAGCTCACATAATAAAACAGTAAAACCGATTACTTTAGATAATTTACATAATAAAACAGTAAAACCGATTACTTTAGATAATTCACATAATCAAACAGTAAAACCGATTACTTTAGATAATTCACATAATCAAACAGTAAAACCGATTACTTTAGATAATTCACATAATAAAACAGTAAAACCGATTACTTTAGATAACTCACATAATCAAACAGTAAAACCAATTACTTTAGATAATTCACATAATCAAACAGTAAAACCGATTACTTTAGATAATTCA